TTGTATTTTTAGTAGAGACGGGGTTTCACCATGTTGACCAGGATGGTCTCGATCTCTTGACCTCGTGATCCACCCGTCTCGGCCTCCCAAAGTGCTGGGATTATAGGCATGAGCCACCGCGCCCGGCCAAATCTGGTATACTCTTAAAATGCATTTGTGGCTGGGTGCAGTGGCTTATGCCTGTAATCCCAGCACTTAAAGCACTTCAGGAGGCTGAAGTGGGTGGATCACTTCAGGCCAGAAGTTTGAGACCAGCCTTGTCAACATGGTGAAACCCCGTCTTTACTAAAAATACAAAAATTAGCCATTTATGCTGGCTTGTACCTGTAGTCCCAGCTACTTGGGAGGCTGAAGTGGAAGGATCACTTGAACCTGGGAGGCGGAGGTTGCAGTCAGCTGAGATTGTCCCACTGCACTACAGCCTGGGGGACAAGAGTGAGTCTCTGTCTCAAAAACAAACAAAAAAACGTATTTGTCTTATGTCCCAGCACGAGCACTGGGCCTGCCAAGTCAGAGAAACGTATTTGCTGCTCAGACATATCTGGATACAGCTTTGAGTAGCTGGGGCAGAGAGAAGTCACACATTTTTACCTTTCCTGGTCATGCTTTGCTCATGCTGTGCTCAGCAAAATGTAGGCCTGTCTAGATGTAGCATCAGCCAAAGCCAAGCAAGGCTGCAAGAGCTGCAGACAGGTGAACTCACTCATGTGGTTTGCCTGGGCAACCCACAGGACTGACACTGAGACATTTTCTTTTCAAATGAGACTGTGTTATTTTCATTGATCAAAACATCAGGGAAAAAGGTTTGATTTAAAGCCCGTTGATTTTTTTTTTTAAAGCAGCATACATACATGTGTTTACTTAATGTCTGTGTGTATATGAATTACACACACACACACACACACACACACACACACAGAGTTAAATTTGCCAGATGTTCAGTATCATGCGTGATTTCTGGCTGTCTAGTAACACTTACTTTACACTGCCTGAGAAAACCCAAATGATCTTGTTGCATGATCTTAAACGGCTGTTAGATGATGACTCCTGTTGGAGAGCAGCTGAGTTACAAGACCCTCCTTCTCCCTTTTCTGACCATCTTCATCCTTCCATGTACCCTCCATTCGTCTCCCCCTTTGCTCCCTCCCTCTTTTGTTTTCTTTCCCCTTCCTCTTTTCTTCCATTCACTATCAGGAAGGGCAACCTGTGGAGGCCCCAGTCAGCCCAACCCCGAGCCAACAGGGACTAGAGGCAGCAGCGGCTGCAACAGTGAGTGAATTAAAACCAACAAACCATCACATTTCGTTTAAAGAGGTGGCAAACAGTACAGCAGGATTCTTTTTAACTATATTGAGAGCATGGGACATGTGTGCTCTTGGGAAATATGTCCTTGTTACTCACTGAGACGATGACAGAAGAGATTTCCACCTCTTAAGAATAGATTCTGGCATCATCTTTAGCATTGGTCTACCAAGTTTCTATTCAAATATGTAAGTACAGGCATGTCCATGGGAACAAAGTGGCTGTTGTACCCTCACTGAGTCTCATCATCTTAATCCAAGATGGCGGCTCTTGGACTCACCCACTTTCATGTCTGTATTTTGTGACCATGTATTGGATGATTTTTCCGCATAGAAGGAGAGTATCTCTGTGATTCTTGAATTGATTTTCCTACACTTCAGAGTTCTACTTTAGAGTAATGCTTGGACATTTGATCTTTTTTAGTAGTAACTTACCTTCTTTTTTAAAAGTGAAAGTTTATACATGTTTACTTTTTTGTGAGAGACTCAGAAGACCTCACATGTCCTCAGCTGTCCCAGTGAGACCTCCACTCTCTGATGTGTCCTGTGTACTGTCATCGGGTGTCATAATCAAAGTGATCTGTCATAATCCTTCCCTTTTCTGATACTAATTCAAGATTCAGTAACAGCACTTGGAATATTTGTCCTTAAAAACATCTTTTAACCAAAATCTTATAATGCACAAATATCATAAGTTATGAATGAATCTGTAAAAGTCTCACCATTAGTGATTACTTATTACTCCTATGTGCTAACAGCATATGCTCCTTTAAATAAAATGAAAGATTTAGATGGATTACCATTTCCTTCATTAAGTGTTTCTGATCATTTTAAACTTGGAAAACTTCTTATGGTCATCCTTCTGGAACTAGTCTAACAGGGATGAAATTTTGGGTCAGAAAAAATTTTAATCTTGCTGTTTACAATATATTTTTAAGTAGGGACTTCCCTATGAGAAATTTTAAAATCTTTAGAACTCATACTACCTATTGTCGACATCTTTTCCACATACTCTTCTTTCTGCTAGTCTTAGCCTACATAAGATGTATTTCTGAGAAGATCTTAATGCATTTAAATCTGGCAACCTCTTCTGTGATAAATTCCAAGTTAAAAGCTCCCTGTCTGGAAATCTGCACATTCATGGTGTTCTTATCCCACTGATTCTTTAGCCAAACATCTGTTTCTGGAGAGCAGCCTGAAGGCATCAGGATGATCATTCTACAAGAAGGACTCTGGATTTTTGACACCAGAGGGCTGAGGATATGACCAGTGATCTGGTTTTGTTCTGTTCTTTGTCCCCTTGGTTGTCTGTGAGTGAAATATCACAGTTTAATTTTTATTTTCTTTTTTCTGCTAACATGTGTCTCTCATCCCCCTTCCTGTAACTCTCATTCCTGTGTTCTGAAGGGATCCTTGTTAGTGTGTGACTGGGAGATTTAACCTGTCTGCCCCTCAGTTTATCTGCTAGTTGGAGAAAGCTTCAGAAATGGCCTTCTACTTTGGGAGAGTTGAACCTTGAAGCATTCCTCCTGTATCCCATAACCCAGCCCAGGATATGCAGGAGTTCCGTCCTGTGCCCTTCGCTGCATTTTCCATCTACCTTCAGAGGGTTGCCAGGTGGAATATGTGTATGGCCTGGAGGTGTCCAGGCTCCAGTAGCTCACGAGTCTGACTGCACATCAGAGTCACCTGGCAGACTTTGAATTTGTTTCTTAGGGTATTAAAACAAGTAAGTGGAAGAAGAAGTAAAACTGGCCCATAATTTCATGGCCCTGACAATCCCCTACTGACATATAAATAAATAAATAAATAAATAAATAAATAAATAAATAAATAAATAAATAAATAAATGAATGAATGGAGGGAAGGAAAGAAAGAAAGAAAGAAAGAAAGAAAGAAAGAAAGAAAGAAAGAAAGAAAGAAAGAAAAGAAAGGAAAGAAAGAAAAGAAAGAGAAAGAAAGAAAGAAATAGGAGCCCTTGGCTAGAAAGTGCGTATAGTGCTAACTAGGAAGAAAACCTCCTGCCCCTACATCCTCTCCAGGGGGCATTGTTAACAGGTATGGGGCTTCCCTCTTGACAGATACCTGCCTATCTTCTATTGATAGGCGTGTGTGCGCTCTATGCTTGTACAGAAAGACACATGATGAATTGTGTTTTAAACTCTGGCACTCTTCTGCCTCTCCATTACATTCTTTAAAAATTAGTGTATCTTGAAGATTGTTTCACAGCAATAATCACTCTTTTATATAGTAGCCTAGTATTCCATAGGCTATTCCATTGGATATGCCAAAGTCATCTCTCTTTGATGGATGTGTTGGTTGTTCCCAATTCTTCGCTGTCACAAACAACAGTGCAGGGAATATCCTTGTCCTTTTTCTTTTTTGAGACAGAGTCTCTGTCTCCCAAGCTGGAGTACGGTGGTGCAATCTCAGCTCACTGCAACCTCCACCTCTGGGTTTCAGTGATTCTCCTGCCTCAGCCTCCAGAGTAGCTGGGATTACAGGCGCCCACCACCACACCTGACTAATTTTTTTTTTTTTTTGAGATAGAGTTTCGCTCTTGTTGTCCAGACGGGAGTGTAGTGGTGTGATCTCGGCTCACTGCAACCTCCGATTCCCGGGTTCAAGTGATTCTCCTGCCTCAGTCTCCCTAGTAGCTGGGACTACAGGCACCTGCCATCACGCCCGGCTAATTTTTGTATTTTTAGTAGAGTCAAGGTTTCACCATTTGGCCAGGCTGGTCTCGAACTCCTGACCATGTGATCCACCCACCTCGGCCTCCCAAAGTGCTGGGATTACAGGCGTGAGCCACCCCGCCCAGCTCTAATTTTTGTATTTTTAGTAGAGACCGGGTTTTGCCATGTTGGCCAGGCTGGTCATGAACTTTTGACCTCAGGTGATTCACCTGACTCAGCCTCCCAAAATGCTGGGATAACAAGCGTAAGCCGCCATGCCCAGCCCCTTGTCCATATATCTTACCAAAGTTTTGCAAGCCTATCTGTTCCAGTAGTGGGATTGCTGAATCTCAAAGTGTTCATGCATTTTAAATTTTGATAAACCCTTCACGATGATGATACAATTTGTACTTGGGAAAATATTTTTAAAATACAGATTTGTTGGGCCCCACCCCAATTTCTGGGAGTAGTGTTTGAGGATTTCTATTTAACATGCAGCTTTTGGTGTGATTCTAATGCAGCTGGTTCTATCCCAGCTATTAAATTTATAATTTCTGGGAGTAGTATTTGAGGATTCTATTTAAAATGCAGCTTTTGGTGTGATTCCGATGCAGCTGGTTCTCTGACCAGCGTGTAAGAACCACTGCTAGAGGAGGAGGGAGGATCTGTACAAACACAGGTCTGAGCTGGGCATTACACTGTGATGAGAGCTGTGGCAAAAAGTGCACACCAGAAGGTGGAGCTAAGGATGAGGAGCGCAGGGCAGCTGCACAGTCCTCCTGCTCACCCCTCGTACTGCTGCCTGAAGGCCAGGTTGCAGGAGAGCTGCCCTCGAGCCCTTGCCTTATTTGGCTCTCTGGATAGAAACCATATGAAGTGATTCTGGGGGCTGCTGTTGAAATTCCTTTTCATGCCATGGTAGATTAGCACTAATTGGGATCTGTGAGACTTAACCCATTTCTCCTTGGTTTTTGTTCCTAAAGAGTCTTTTTTGCCTTGGGTTTGGAAAAACTCAAGATTTTTTAAAACAAGTTGACTTTAAAATTCTACTTTTGGAGACTCTACTAAAGACTGTACCTGCCGGGCGCGGTGGCTCAAGCCTGTAATCCCAGCACTTTGGGAGGCCGAGGCGGGTGGATCACAAGGTCAAGAGATCGAGACCATCCTGGTCAACATGGTGAAACCCCGTCTCTACTAAAAATACGAAACATTAGCTGGGCTGGGCATGGTGGCGCGTGCCTGTAATCCCAGCTACTCAGGAGGCTGAGGCAGGAGAATTGCCTGAACCCAGGAGGCGGAGGTTGCGGTGAGCCAAGATCGCGCCATTGCACTCCAGCCTGGGTAACAAGAGTGAAACTCCGTCTCAAAAAAAAAAAAAAAAAGACTGTACCTGTGAACTCAGAAGAAGCAAATGCCCCATCAGGATCTGCCCACATGCCTGTGGAATCATCATTTTAACATTCCAGAGCCCTGGACTGAAGGAAAAGAGCCCCCTCCTTTTTTAAAACTCAGTACTTTCTAGCCACAAGTGAATGTACATTAAGCTTTTTTTTCTTCTGTGACCTTGGACGGTCTTTGTTGTTCCTGGGCAGAGACATGGTACATTTCTGGAAGAGGTTGCCGGAATTCTTAGACTCCTGTTAAAAACTTACCAGACATGCTCGCTTCGGCAGCACATATACTAAAATTGGAACAATACAGAGAAGATTAGCATGGCCCCTGCACAAGGATGACACACAAATTCGTGAAGTGTTCCATATTTTAAATAAAAAAAAAAAAAAAACTACTCATCAGACTAGGGTACAGTCACCACATCATTTGGCCTCCCTTCGTCTTAGAAAGTCTAACTTAGTTCCAGAAAGCCTAGGCCCTTGCAGGCTTTACAGATAGAGCTGCACTTTATATGAGAATCTGTTCGTAGCAAGGTTTCCATTAAAGCAGGATTCTTAATTAGCGTTGACTGAGGTGAGGCTAGTGCCTCTTGGCATAGCAGACAGAACTGCATATTTCCTCTGAAGCAATGTAAGGTGGTAATTGTAGGTTGGGCTGAGGCTGGGGAGGTGGTGGTTGGGGTGGAACACTTGTTTGATTTTACTTAGCTGTTCATTCAGTGGGTTTTGTTTTTGTTCTTAGACTATATGCTTTTCTAAGGTTTGTGTTACTAACCATCGCCCTTCCCACCTCACAGAATGTCATATTAAAGCCCAGGCAAATTCTACTCTTTCTGTTCATCTGTGTAGGGAACTCTCAACTTTGGTGGGATCAGGGTGGGCAACGGACCGACAGAGGAGGATGCTGAGATTATTCAGCATGACCAGCTCTCCACCCACTCAGAGGACGCAGACGAGGTAAGATCCTGTGGTGTGGGCTTCCTCTCCTTCCACCTCGGTCAGCCCTGGTCTTGTGTACCTAGGAAGCCTCACTCTGCTCTTCTCCTTGAAAAATAAAAATACTAATAAATACCCATCCTGCCTTCTGGACCTCTTAGGGCACCACAGCTTTTTACAGTGGGCCCTGCCCTAAGCTCCAGCTGTTGCCCCCAGAGCCTGCAGTAGTTTTGCTCTTGTCTTGAATTCCAGGTTTTTCCTGCAGTGCTCTGTATGCAGGTCTCCATTACTGACTGCTCTCTTGCGTGAGGCAGAGCAGGCCTCAGCATCCCAGCTCTTACGACCTGAAACACAGGTCACTAAACACAGCTTCTTCATCTGTTGATCCTTCCAAGGATCATTCTAGTACATTACTGACCAGCTGTAATCACTGGTACTTTTGAAGTCCTAGCCCACTGATGTGTTCTTGCTGCAGATACTTTGACCCTTTTTGGTGTCATTTGCCTACCTTTTACAGGGAGAGAGAGAATGAGGCCAAGCTAGACTTTTTCTTAAGATACCACCTCCAAGCCTACTCTCCTTGCCTGACCCCTTGTAGCACAAAGCCTCTGCACTCAGCTATTAAAGCTCATCTACTCATTATGTTCTTTTTAAAGCAAGTGTAATAGGAATTGAGGACCCAAGTTGGACTTTTCAGTCTGTCTGACCACTTTCACTCTATATAATTTTTTAAGAGGCTGGGCGTGGTGGCTCACGCCTGTAATCCTAGCACTTTGGGAGGCCGAGGCGGGTGGATCACCAGAGGTCAGGAGTTCAAGACCAGCCTGGCCATCATGGTGAAACCCCATCTTTATTTAAAAAAAAGAAAAAAAAGAAAATAAAAAGAAATCACAAGGGTTAGGGATGCCTTTAAAAAATATGTATCTTGGCTGGTCGCAGTGGCTCACGCCTGTAATCCCAGCACTTTGGGAGACCTGGGTGGGCAGATCACGAGGTCAGGAGAGTTCAAGACCGGACTGGCCAACATCTCCCGTCTCTACTAAAAAACAGAAAAATTAGCTGGGCATGGTGGCTCGTGCCTGTAATCTCAGCTACTTGGGAGGCTGATGTAGGAGAATTGCTTGAACCTGGACCCTGGAGGCAGAGGTTGCAGTCAGCCGAGATCGTACCATTGCACTCCAGTTTGGGCTACAGAGTGAGACTCCACCTCAGAAAAAACCAACAAAACGTATTTTAGTGCTGTAAATTCCTGCTGACTTCACTTTGTGTGTATGCTGAAGAGGCCTGCCTCAAACGTGCTAGCCCACTTAACATGAACAGTCCTCCCCAAGAAGCATTTAGTAGCCTTGTGCTCCTAACTTGTGCCTTGTGTGTGGCGTGGCTCCCCACTAAGTGTAAATTTGTGTTTTCAAGCCTACCGAGGACGAAGTGGTAAGATGAAAGCTGGCATTGCCTTCGTGTTTATCTGGGCTTCTCTCTTCCCATCCTTGTGATCACTCTGCTGACCCTGCCTCACCCTGGGGCCACACACGTGACTCCTGTGCATCCTGCATCTCACTAGCCATTTCTAACCAGTTCGTGAACCTGTGTTCTAAAAAGCTCATCTCCATTAATTGCATCTCATGTCGGTCGCCTCTGTCTTTGTTTCATTGACTTTGCTGATCTAATACCTCTGAGAATGGCTTTGAAAGGAGCTACAAGTAATGTCTGCCCTGGCATTCTTGAAGTGACTCCTCTTGGGGGTTAAGGCCCGTTGGCCTCTGCCTTCGTCTCCTGTGATGTTGTGGTTGCTCTCCCAACCACCGGGAGTAGCCGTTTCCTCCCTGCTCCTCCGAGTGCTTGTGAGCAAAGCTTACCCTTTCTCCCTGTCTGAGATGTAGCCAGCCTCTTCCTGCTGCCCTCCTCAGCTTGATGTTGCTTCAACTTAGGAGCGTTGGACCCTTCTCTGGGTCAGCTCTACCTCCATGTGACCCAGGTGAGAGGGAGACAGTTTTCAAAAGGAGGCTTTGCCTTCCAGATGCATCCCAAAGGAAATAAACCATCTGTGTGAAAGGAGTTCCTGTTACATCAACCACACATAGAGAATAACGGAGACCGGAAAGCAAGGTGGCTAAAGGTTCAGGCCACATCTCGAGTAGAGGGCCCCCTGGCTCAGCAGTAATTCGCTTAGCAACACACACTCTTTAAACTGGGTTTTTTAAAGGCCTTGCTGCACTGTTTGCATCTTCCCCCAACACTTCTCTCTAAAATGCCTAGACCCACGAACTGTACCTTTCCCTTCCCGACTCTCTGGCCCTCTCTAGCCGGGCAGTGGGATGGGAATGGGAAAGACTTTGCTGTTCTGTGTAAACACAGGCGGGGTCTGGTCTTCCTGAAGTCTGGAGAGGCTTCTTTGCTGGCATCAAGGAGTGTCTGTGTTCCTGGACTGCTCATCTGTGCAGTCCCTGGCTGAGCTACCTGGCGGGATGGGTGGGGCACGCTCCATGTTAGTGAGGAGCCCAACCTTCTCCTAGGCTCACTACCTTCAACAGCACTGCTTCTGAAATGTCTTCCTAGCTGAGCACCCGCATTGTCAGGATCATCTGACCAACTGTTGTATACCAATGTTCTCATTTGTAGCCATGTCCCAGGAAGTTGGACATCCAACAACATAGACTAATTCAGCCTCTGTAGTTTCTGGCCACCCAGCTCACTCAGGGATTCAGCTACCCTTGGCTACCCAAGTAGTCTAAACATTGTATCTTTATCAGACATACACAGTCTGGTTCTCTACAGCCAAATTTAGATACCGGTGACAGTTATCAAACAATTTTAAACAAAACAGGTTCCTAGAAAAAAGTTCAGCCTACTTGTAGAACTTCCCTATTTTGCTTGACTGTGAAATGTATTTGTCCCATGCAGGCCCTTGCGCCAGCCCAGTGGAAGCTTTAGCACCTCTCCCTAGCGGAGACTCAGTCCAGCTGTAAACCAGAGCCAGGCCAGCTGGTTGTCTGGGAAATAGGACCACTGAGCAAGTCAGCAAGGGTCAGTGGCACCTCTCCCACTGTCTGCTCAGCAGGTGCATTCATGCCACCCATCCATACACTCATTCACCCTCTATGTGTCCAGCACTATGTACAGTGCTGCAGAAACAGAAAAGAAAAACATAGTTCTTGCCTTCAAGGACCGCCCAAATTGCGGAGACAGTCTGAGTGACAGGTGCTGTGATAGAAGTGTGCCGGGGATGCTATAGGAGTACAGAAGGAGGGCAGCTGACCAATACTGGAGTGAGGGTGGAAGAGGAGCCCCTGGAAGGATTCCCTAAGGAAGTTAACTTACTCTGGTCAAGGAGGAGGCCCTGTAGGAGGAGGGGTACAGACCCACCAGCATATGCAGCTTCACAGAGGCAAAAGACCTGCAGGCTCATCACGTGTTGGGGACTAGCAAGTATTCAGCTTGGCTGGAGCAGAGGCAGGAATGGGGAACTGGGGACAGGTGAGACTGGAAGTTGGCAGAAACCAGCTGTAGTAGCTTTTGCCTCATTTGGATAGCAAGGAGCTGCCCGAGAGAGGGCAGTGAAGCTGATGGTGACACAGCCCTGGTGCATTGAGGAAGTACTCCCAGTGACCATGTTGTAGGGTATATTGGGTCGGAGAGGGGCACAGTCAGGAGGCATGGACTCTACCTCATCTGATGTGATTCAGGACAGAATAGGGAGCCTGAAGTGAAGTAAGGTTGAGTTGGAAAGGAAGGAATCAATATAAGATAGTAAAGAAGTAAAAGATATAGGTCCCAGTGCCTTAATAAAGGTAAGGAGTAAGAGAAGGTTCGAGATTGACTGCCAGAGGATAGCAGTACTTTGTTGAGCATGGAGAGCCTGTTGTTCTCCAGGAGAAGGAGTATAGCTTGCTGGACATAGGCAAGGCAGAGATGGAGAGCTTGGGAGTCACTTCTAGGGGTGGCCCTTGAAGCCCTGAATGGCAGTCGCACAAGAAAGGTACAAGGGCTGAGGCTGAAACTCCAGAGAACATCCACGTTTAAGGAAGAACCGTGGCCGGGTGCAGTGGCTCATGCCTGTAATCCCAGCACTTTGGGAGGCCAAGGCGGGCGGATCGCTTGAGCCCAGTAGTTTGAGACCAGCCTGGCCAACATGGTGAAACCTGTCTCTACTAAAAATACAAAAATTAGCTGGGCGGTAGTGGCACATGTCTGTAATCCTAGCTACTTGGGAGGCTGAGGGAGAAGAATCGTTTAATTCTCCTGGGAGGCAGAGATTGCGGTGAGCTGAGATTGTGCCACTGCACTGCAGTCTGGGTGACAGAGTGAGACCCTGTCTCAAAAAAGAAAAAAAAAAAAAGGAAGAACCTCAGTGGAGACTAAAAAGGACTGTCCAGAGAGGTAGGAGGAAAACCAAGGGGAAGCAGGTGTTGCAAGAAGGAGGAAGTGGCCAGGTGTGGTAGCTCATGTCTGTAATCTCAGCACTTTAGGAGGCCGAGGTGGGTGGATCACCTGAGGTCAGGAGTTCAAGGCCAGCCTGGCTAAACATAGAGAAACCCCATCTCTACTAAAAATACAAAAATTAGCCGGGCATAGTGGCATGCGCCTATAGTCCCAACTACTTGGGAGGCTGAGGCAGGAGAATCACTTAAACCCAGGAGGTGGAAGTTGCGGTGAGCCAGGTTAGCACCACTGCACTCCAGCCTGGGCGACAGAGTAAGACTATCTTAAAAAAAAAAAAAAAAAAAAATGGAAGAGGCCATAGTGACAGACACTGAAGGGGTATGAACAAGGACACAGAACATCTGTTAGATGTAACAACTGGGAGGTCACGGTGACCTGGCTAAGTAGAGCCATTTTGTGGAAGAGTGAAGGTGGAAGCCAGGGTGCAGTAGGGTGAGGACTGGCTGGGAAGGGAGGAAACTGAGGCAGAGGATGTGGACAGGGACCCTGCAGCAATTCATGGTCAGTCATAGCTGACTCATACTGGGTGTATGCTGAGTGGCAGACTCATAAGTGCTGGGCTGGATTTCTTACCCAATCCTTGCCTCTCCTAAGAACAACTGCAGGAAGCTGGGAATGAAGGAGAGAAGGCAAGGGTAAGGCCTGGAAGCGAGGCTTCTCTTCTGTCCTGTACTTTTTTTCGATGAGAGAAACTTGAGATGGAATGAAAACACTGAACGGGGTTGGCCTAAGGGAGTCCCTCGGTCACTGCCTCTAGCACATAGGACTAGAGATCAGCACTCCTGGGAGCCATGGACTTCTTCCTCTCAATGTGGGCTCTCGGGCAGCAGCCAGCAGTGGTAGGAAAGAGCTCTTAACCACAGTGTGGGGATTTAGGGAACTTTGGGAACCAGGATTACCCTAGTTTTCAGAGTAAGGAAGCTTGAAGAGCCTGTTCCAGAAGAAAAGCCCAGAAATAGGCTAGGTGTCCAAAGAAGTGAGGGAAAAGCAGACATTTGCCCAGAGATAGCATGGTAGAGCCAGCCCCCTCCCCGCTGGCTGCACCCCTGTGGTCTGGGCTGTTGTGGCTTTACCAGCCGAGCCACTTTCTCCTGTCCCCATGTCCTCGTGATTTCCCAAGCCATTTCTGGTGTCCTTTGGGAGTGGAATCACGTGGGTTTTGAAAGGAACTACGTTGAAAAATAGACCCTGACCTGAGGGCATGGGCTGATGGGGAGGCCACTGAGCCCGCAGGAGTGTCTAAACGCTTAGAGAATTCTGGTCTGGGCTGTGTGGGGAGCCCCGTAAGGGAGTGCCTCCTGGTCTTTGGTCAGCTTGACAGTGTGAGAGGCCCAGGGAAAGTACATGGGGCTTCCAGAATATACCAAATTCAGAAGCCCACGTTCACCCCTGACTGTGCTTGAAGCAGTCCTAAAAGTATACTCCCTAGAGCTTGTTCCAGCCCATTCCTTTATTCTGAAAATAATTCTTGGTATTGAAAACTGGGAGAAAGGGAGCTTGAGGAAAACCAAAACAAGAAACTGGCGATGTGCTGTCTGCCCTTAACCCATGTAGAAATCCATAAACTTTGTCAGGATTTCCCTGTGCATGGTGGTGAAATCATGTAGGGAAAAAAAATTCCCCATGTAATCTCTTTAGAAGTCACGAAAGAAAAAGGAGGTTATTTTGCTCCCAAAAGGCTGTAGAAAGAGTAAGTACAGTGGCTGTAGAGGCCTAGTCTTCTCAAGGCAGTGCACGGGTTGAGCGCCCATCTCCTGAAGCGCAGTCTGGGGAAAATCTCTTCCTGCCCTCCATCGGTTATTCTGAGCAGGGATGCTTTCCTCGATAGCCTAGAAGGTGAGAATCAGCTAGGCCAGGCTTCCGCAGGTCCTTAGATCCCACACACAGTCACTTTCCCAAATGGAGTGCTGTCAACTCAGCACACACTCCGCTGTTGAGCACAGAGCCCAAGAGGGAGAAAAACAAATGTGTTGAAAAGAATCTTACTAAGATGTAGTTCTTAAAATGTAGTGTATTGAGGTGACTGGAGGTGTCCCAGGTGAGGGCTAAGCCAGCCAGGATTTCTGGGGAAGGCATTGGCGAAATCACCACCTGAGCTTCACTAGGTGCTTCTGGCCCCTCCAAAGTTGAGGTGCCAACCATGGGAAGTGCAGTCCCCTGCCCTGGCCCAGGTTCAAGGTGCCAAGTAGCCACAATTCAGAATGCCTGCACATTCCCCTCCTAGCCTTATATCTTCTCTGGTTTCCCCCCATGACAGTTTGACTTTGGGGATACCATGGTCCACCAGGCCATCCACACCATCGAGTACTGCCTGGGCTGCATCTCCAACACCGCCTCCTACCTGCGGCTCTGGGCCCTCAGCCTCGCTCACGCGCGTGAGTACCCCTCTCCAGGCTCCAGAACTCTAGTTTCCCCTCTGTGGGTGCTCTCTCAGCTTGGGGGCTAAAGTAGAATGGAAATTACATGAAGCATCTGGAATTATTCAGGTTCCTGAACCCAAGGAGAATGAGTACAGATAGGAGTCTCGGCACTTGTGCCAGGTTAGCTCTGCACAGGGGTCCCACTAAGGCAGTGGGAGGCCAGCGTCCAGGGAACCCTAGTGGGGGGGATGGCAGAGCAAAATTCATGACCCACAGCCGCCTCTTGCCAAACCGCACTGGATTTTGTGTCTCCCATTCCCCAGAGCTGTCTGAGGTGCTTTGGACCATGGTGATCCACATTGGCCTGAGCGTGAAGAGCTTGGCGGGAGGTTTGGCGCTGTTCTTCATCTTCGCCGCCTTTGCCACCCTGACTGTGGCCATCCTCCTGATCATGGAGGGCCTCTCGGCCTTTCTCCACGCACTGCGCTTACACTGGTGAGGAGCAGTGAGACAGGGTGGGCATGGGGGTTGATGTGTCCTTAGCTGCGGTGAGAGGGCAGCTTTCCTCCCACACAGCTGTGCAGCTCTGTGCAGGAACATGAGCTGGCCTGTAATAGCTTCACCCCAGGACACCCCAGCAGCAGCTTTGCCACTGAGTGTCAGAAAATGGCCACAGAAAAGCACAGCTCAGCCTTTCCTAGACCCTAGGGAGAGGTCGCTGGTGAGTGGTGCCAGGTCCCGCTCCCTGCCTTTAGCTGTCCCCACTGCTCCTGATTTTGGCTTAGAAGAGCTGCTGGGGTCTTAAGAGTTTCTGGTTTTCTCTCTGGCGCATAACTCTCCTGTCTTTAGAACAGTGGAAGCAGCTCTGAAATGGATGTTAAGTGCAGGAAAGACTAGAGCACCCTGCACCCCAGCTTTGTCCTCCATGTTCTGTCATTGTGCTGGGCGTCATTGAGTTGGACCCCTGGCAGCTCCATTGTGGGCCAGGGGGATTCCTGGCTCCATAGGATGGAGGTCAGTACGTGCACACAGCTTCTTCAGAAGGGTGGTTCGGGGTGGTTCTGTTTGTTTTCTTTAGTGAAGCTGTGACTCTTAATGGCTGTGTGTGGAGAGAGCATGAGTTCAGCCTCTGGGACTGGGAGAGCGGGGGTGTGGTTGAGGCTATGACCACCTCAAACCAGGGTTGCCAGATTTAGCACATAAAAATATAGTGTGGCCGGGTATGGTGGCTCACACCTGTAATCCTAGCACTTTGGGAGGCTGAGGCAGGTGAATCATCTGAGATCAGGAATTCAAGACCAGCCTGGCCAACATGGTGAAGCCCTGTCTCTACTAAAAATACAAAAATTAGCTGGGTGTGATGGCACCTGCCTGTAATCCCAGCTACTTGGGAAACTGAGGCAGGAGAATCACTTGAACCCTGGAGGTGGAAGTTGCAGTGAGCCAAGATCGCACCACTGCACTTCAGCCTGGGCAACAGAGTGAGACTTTTGTTTCAAAAAAAAAAAAAAAATACAGTGTGTATTTCACATAAACAACAAATAATTTTTTTAGTATGAGTATTTCCCAAATGTGCATGGGATATGCTTATACTAAAAACTGGGGCAGCCTATATTTTCTGTAGCTGTTCTACCTCAGACTCCACTTCTTTGGGTCTCCATTTCCTCCTTCATGTTGTGATTCTCTTTTTTCGGGTCTCAAACCCCTGTCTGGAAGTTCTGGCCCCGCTCCCCAGAGAAGCACTCACCCCTGTTTTACGAGCATAGGGTTCTAACTCACTGGTGCTGCCTTAGAGGCCCCTTGGGATGCTCAGTGGTGTTCATGATCTCAAGGTCAGAAGAGGACTATGAATGTCTCTCTTCATTCTCCAAACCTGAAAAAAATCCAGCATCTGAACCTGAGAAACTCCTTCCCCACTCCCCGTAATCTTTGATTTTTCTCATGGCTGAGTGACCCCTGAGCCTCCTCAAAGCTTCAGCTGTGTTTTTTTCTGAATTATGGGTGGAGAGCAAGGCCTGGAAGAGCAAGACGTGGCTGGGCTGTACTCTTCTTCAAAAGCCCTGCTACGTCAATAGACGTGGCTTCCCCTGGCCTGGCTGTCTCCCTCCCGGGCTCCCTCCTCCCCACCCAGCTCGTCTGGCTGGCCCCATGTTCTGTTTATCAGCTTACCCCGCCAAGCAGCGTTCCTCAGCCCTCCTCGGTGCACAGGAACCTCTGAGGAAGTAGCCTGTGGGGACTCACTTTTTCTTGCCCTTTGGCCTCCTTCCTTTTCTTTTCACTCCTGTCCCTTGAGCCCTGGGTTTGAGGGAACAGTGACCACCTCACCTTGATTCCAGCCCCTGCGGGTAGCCGGTCACCTACTCCCTGGGCAGGGCGGGAGCAAGGCACTGTTGCAGAGCAAGGTTGCCTGGGCTGGAACCTTGTTGTGTTGCCAGAGGGTTGCATCCTCCTCAGGCTCGCCTGTGGCCTCCTCATGTCTTCCCATGTCCTCCTGAACAGGCCTGAGGAAGTGATGAGTGGCAGGAGGGCAGGACTCTGAATCGGGTGACCTGGGTTGGAATTCCAGCTCTGTCATGCCAAGCAGGGGGCCTCCGCAGAGCACTCAATGACAAGGTGACCTTGAGCACGTAGGAAGTAATACATCAAGTGCTGCTGCAGCGAAAGCAGGTGCTCCAGGATGGGTCGTGACTGCTCTACTTAAAAGTGGATGCCCTTGCCAGGTGTGGTGGCTCACACCTGTAATCCCAGCATTTTGGGAGGCTTAGGCAGGTGGATCACCTGAGGTCGGGAGTTCAAGACCAGCCTGGCCCATGGTGAAACCCCATCTCTACTAAAAATGCAAATGTTAGCTAGGTGTGGTGGCGTGCGCCTGTAATCTCAGCTACTCAGGAGGCTGAAGCAGAATTGATTTAGCCCAGGAGACGGAGGTTGCAGTGAGCTGAGATTGCACCACTGTACTCCAGCTGAAAGACAGAGCGAGACTCCACCTCAAAATAAAAAAAAGAGGTGGGGGATGCCCTAGAGAGAGGGCATCTGCCTGGGGTCCTCCATAGAGAAACTGCTTTTAGCCTGTCTAGAGTGAGAGGAGACCCCAAAAGGAGGCAGAGGGTACCATCAGAATGCCCTCAGTTCCTGTTTGCAAGGAACAGGCTTGTCATATGTGTCGCACTTGTAGTTACTTATTTTTTTTTTTTGGCAATAAGTGTATTGGGCAGGAGAGGAAAAAACAGTGCAGACCTCCTTTGTGCAAATTCCAGAATCCTGTCTTTCGAGGGCTGTCCCTGTGACACATGAGTGGGATGCCTCCCCCACCACTAAAACAGGAGTGAATTAAATTGGTGCCTGTGCGCCCCCTCCTGGCAAAATGTGGCAGTATGTCCAGGATGCCTGGATCTTCCCTGTGGCCCTCTTAACAGGGGTGGAGCCTCTGGGCCTGCTTACCCAGCTGCAGGGATGGTGCTACCATTCTTCCTGGCATCCAGCCTAGGCATCGTCATACCTCCCACTTTATCCCTGCTGTTTCCTGACTTAAGGGCTGCCCCATTATGCAAGTTCTGTGTCTCTTCAGTGAGGACAATAAGAAAAATATTTGATTTGATAATATATAAACCACTAGTTTGAGATTCAAGCAGTGTCATAGGAAGGGGGGTGATGTTTGGAAACAATGAGCAGGTTAATGTATTAATCTGCTTATTCTGTCTCCTGAGTTTTCGCTCTCTTACTCCCTTCTAAAAATGTAAGCTTAGCTTCCTACCTACCATAATTAGACATCTTTTCTTCCTCAGAGAAGGCATGAGACAGGGATTTGATTGTAGTTATCACTGTAAACATCAAACTGATTTTTATGCACTGTTGCCCCGGGCCTAGCTTCCAAGGAAACTGGCCTCTCCTTACCTAGTAGATTCCACATATACATAGATGTACACCCAGCTGTACACACACAGATTGGTGATTAAAGGGACAGAATCAGGGACCACCCTCTTGTTAGGAATGCAGTGTTGCCACAGCATGACAGCACAGAGGAGTTGAGGGAATGGTTGCCCAAGAGAACTCAGAAGTCTTGAAATGTAGTTCCAGGCTGCCATCATTGCCCTGATACTTGGGCCCTCACACAGATGTGTGTTCTGGGCCCTGAACTGCACAGAGAGTGGGAGAACAGGCTAGAGAACAGCTCAGCCCAGAATTGTCTTTCCAGACTGCCTGCACTCAGTCACAACCCCCACCAGGAAAGGGAAGCAGCCCCAGGACTCCTTCCTCCTTCACCCACTGGAGGAAACAGGGGTTCCTGTTACGTGGCAGGAATGATGTCTTTTGGCCCCAGTTAATCCCTCTGAGTCACCAGGTGGCCTTTGCCAAGTGCTGGAGCTGGAAGGGATGATAGAGACACCCATCTGGCTTCCTGAGGCCCTCCTCACAGCTGTTGAATTGTAGAGGTGCATTTCAGTGGCTTTGGGTGTGGCGAGACCTTGGACGCTCCCTGAGCAGAGCAGTGGCGAGGCCCATCAAGAAGGAAGAACTTAGGATGGCAGGTCGGGCCCTCCTTGCCCCAGAGAACTTCATGTTTGTACTTTCTCAGGAAGTACACATTTCCCTGGTTCAGGGGGAGAGGGTGGGGAGACGGGTGGGGAAATTGCTTTCCAGCTTTGTGCTGGGTGGTTGGGATGAGGGTGGCCAGGGAAGGTGAAGTCAGGCTGACACCAAGACAGACCCAAGATGTCCCAGTTCTGGCCACCCTAAGTCTCTAAAGCAGCAGCTGGTGGGAGGGGCAGTATTGGGCAGTATGTCAGGGGGGCCACCTGTCTGTTTACACAGTACAATGTTCCCCTCCCAGGCATATATCCTTCTTCCTTGTCGCTGGGCCCTATGGGTAGACAAGGCGACTGGAGGGGTGCCAAGAAAAGGGCAGTGCCCCCACAAGCATCTGAAAACAAAGCTGCTGCTCCATTTGCCCAGTTTGGAGATTAGCAAGGTTTTGTGATTAGCCAGGCAGGGGGTCAGCATTCTGGACACCTCACTGATTTGGGGGTCAGCCTACCCTCCCAAAGCTGACATTCACTCCTAGATCATGGCCTGGGACCCTCAGGTGACTAGTCCACTCTCTGGCTATGTACTGTTGAATGAAAAGGGGACATGCAAATCTCTTTTCAGCTATTCTGAAATAACCATTGCCATAGGGGAACACAGTCTACTCAACATGAAGAATTCAAACCCAACAGAAGTGGGTGAGAAGCAGGAACCTACTGCTAGGAACCCACTGCGTTCCCTCACAAGTGCTCTCAGTAGCTGGAACTTGGAGAAGTACTTTTGGTGGGGTGTTAGGATGTGGGTGGATCCGGGTCCTGGTTTGGGATTGCCCCTGCAAGAACCCTGGGCTAACGTCAGTTGGAAGCTCTGTGGCCTCCCCCTCCTGAGTCCTGTTTTCCCTGGAGGACCTTGGCCCACCCCTGTGGAATGTGGGGGTGAGAGTGGGAGAAAGCCGCCTGCAGTTACTCCTACTCAGAAAACTCTGTTGTGCTCTTCTCCAAGGGGGTGCAGCTGGCAGCTCTGCCACCCAGAGTCCTTAGCCTGCAACCCAGTGAAGGGGCCTCTGAGGCACTCCCAGTGCCACTGGCAAGCAGCCCTGCAACCTTCGGGCCCCAGCCACCTCCCAGCCCCTGTTCTCTAATTCCAGCCTTTTTGGTGTGGAGAGAGGAAGCCCCATTTGAAGGCTGAAGGCTAATGGCTGAGTGAGGGAACTAGAAGGTTCCTGAAGCTTTAAAGCTCCTGGAAGCCCTCACCCTGCATGTGACCCCTCACCTTGGGGGAGCCTGCCCCAGCCCCCACTCCCGCCTGTTCCTACAGGGCCCCAGTGTTTCCAGGGTCACACAGCACCATGTGGAAACTATTCCTCGGGGCAGCTCTCCTTGGGCTTTTTATCCTCTGAATCATGCATTTTTCTGCCCTTATTTGGTGTGGTTTGGTTGCTGGGCAGCTGTCCAGGGTGAGTTTGCAGGAGGAAACACAGCAAGGCAGCCTCGCTCCACTTATGTGACAGTCTTCCTCCCGCCCTCTGAGTGCAAAAAGCCCAGTAGAGACCACCAGGCATGGATATTGACCTGCTGGGAAGGGACTTCAGGCTTCTTCTTTTTAGTACCCAAGAGAATTCTTTCTCAGATGTTTTTGTGGCTGGAGAATATTTTTGCCATTGCTTTCAGAAGACTTCCCCTCCTAACTCCCCCTCTTTCCTGGGAATTTCCTTCCTTAAATGGAAAGCCTTAAACGCTCACTCCAAACTCGCTCTTCTAGCTCCCCCCAGGAAAAATAACAAGCAAACAGACCTGCTTGCCCAGGGCCCCTGGAGGAGCTTCCCTTAGAGGTGGGCTGTGTGTGCTCCCGCCAGGAGGGGGCGTTGGGGCCACTTTTTCATTAACAATGTTAGGCTCAAGCTAACTGAACTTTTGCACGTGCCTCTCTACAGAGAGTTGTGTATAAACACACTGCTCAGCAGGACAGAGCGAGATTGGAAACTGAGGGCAAATCCCTTCCTCTGTACATCGAACTCTTGCTGAGGCGAATCCCAGGCCTTAAAAACGGGGAGTTCTGTACTCTGGGCTTTATCCAGCTCCTCCAGGGAAAGGAGGCTTGGGGTGAGGTGGGCACGGGGCATCTTTCTGGCCCAACTGTGAAGTCCCAAAAAGTTTCACAAGGTTCCTATTGAATGACAACTTTCTTCTTTTTCTCCAGGGTTGAGTTCCAGAATAAATTCTACAGCGGGACTGGTTTCAAGTTCCTACCCTTCTCCTTCGAGCATATTCGGGAAGGGAAGTTTGAAGAGTGAGCCCCTGTGAGGACCACGTGCCCCACACTGCCCACCCTGCCTCCCCCCACAATGATGAGCTGTGCTCCTCTGCCCGTTGGTTGTGATCCGTGGGCACCAGGACATTCGTGTCACCCCATCTGTGAGTCATTTAGATAGAAGAGTCCTCCCTGGGTCTCCCACCACCCCCAGATTTGTGTGTAGTGCAGTGGTTTGCTGGCTGTCACTTATACCCACTGGGCACCAGCCTTGCCCTCTTAGCTTCCACCCAACCAGAGAGCCCCTCCCACCTCCTGGTGGTGAGCGTCTGTGCATTCCCACGCAATCCCGTAGCCCTTTCATCTTCCCTGAGTGTGTGGATGGAAGTAGCACCCATGCCTTTCACATCTAGACTTTGAGTTCCGTCCACCTGCCACGGTAGTTTCTAGCAGGAGTAGTGCAGGGAGCAATACAGGTTCTCCCCTAGAAGGGGACACTGGTAATACACCCCACTCTTGGGTTAGCAGGGGTGGGTCCAGGAAGATATTTATGTCCTTTGCCCACCCCGCTCTAGTGCTTGTTTATCAGGCATTCAGCTGGACCCAACTGGACCATCATGAGTGGCTTCTCCCTGTCACCCCCAGGGGTCATGGGATATCCACACCACCTTCCTGACCCCACCCTGCACTCCCACCCTCTCCTCTCTCCTCATTCATGCCCTGCAGTGTATAGCACAGCCGGGAGTGCCTGGAGCAGAGGCTTTGTCTGCTTTGCAGTGCACAGGGCTTCCCTCCCCCGGCTGGCTTCTTCCCCGCCCTTGCGTGGGCCCTGCCCACAGGCACAGCCTTGGGCAGAGGGTGCAGGCTGATGCTCTTCCGGTGGAGACCCTCAGACCTTCCCCACCCCTAATCATCATGTCTTGAGTATGGGACTGGGATCCTCTCAGTTCTGCCTGCAGTCTGCCTGCCTCTGCCCCCTAGTGTCCCTCCTCACCTCCACACTGGCCCCAGGTCTCAGGAGGGGTGTCCTGGGCAGGGAAGGTTAGTATCACTGATGGCTAGCTGATTGGAAGCCATTGGCAGGGCTGCCGTGCATGTGGCTGTGAGGGCTGCAGAGCCCAGCCGAGGGGCCTCCTCCCCGTCATCCCAAACCTTCTAATCATGTGCTGGCATGGCAGCCCTGGCTGCCCTGGCCAAGTTAATCCCCACCGCTTTCAGTGGTAGAAAGAATTCCCTGAGTGGGCCCAGCCACCGCCCTCCTCCCACCCTGGCTTTTCTGAGTGAGCTGCCTGGAGTCCTGGCCTCTCTCCCCGGCTTGGCTGCCCCAGCTTCACTGGATGCTGGCCACCATGACCTGGCCCGACCTTGTGCAGCCCCCTGCCCTCGTATTATCCAGGGTTTTCATGATGATCTTTACTCTGTTTCAAGTGGGGTTTGAAGCAGAGTTCAGGGAACTCTGCCCAAAGCCCTCCTATTGAGACATTCCTGTGTTGAATAAAATGTGTTTGACTCCCCCAGAGAGACTGCCTGTCACTGTGCCCACAGCCCCTGTGCTCCAGGCTCAGCCATCTTGAGCCCATCTGGACCCCTAACCTTTGCCTCCCTCCTCCAGCATTGTGGCTTTTCCTTCTGTCAAAGGCCACAGCTGCAATGGGCCTGGCTGGCAGTTAGTTTGGGAAATTCTCACTTGTCCCAAGTTTCCTACTTGCAGGAGCCGAGGCAGTTCTGCAAACACTACCTGTGGGAGGAGGGGACTGGGTGGCCCATCTTCATCTCTCCCCTTCACTCATTGCACATCCAGACAGCATGGGGGCAGGGGGCACTGGGTATCTCCCCACGCTTCTCCCTCTTCTCCAAGTGTGCCCTCCAGGGCCCAGTGGCCTGACTATTTTGAGCCTTGACACCCTTGGCCTTAGTGTAAGTGGAGTCTCCACACGGGTTCCTCCGGGCAGCTGCGGAGTGTGAGGTGCTGGAATTGGCAGGCAGCAGGTGAAGAGCTGGCAGACCATCCAGGGCAGGAGGCCCCCCTCCCCGCCACACTGCCTAGTGAGACACTGCATACTCTGTGCCCTCCCTCTTCACTCCTCCCTCCAGGGTTCTCAGGGCAGGGGCCCTGACCTGGGCAGGCTAACTACCACTGCCCCCTGTTCATTCCATGTTCCAGCCTAGCCTAAAGCCCTCCCTCCTCCCTAACAGTGCTACCTGTCCCTGGAGTCGGCCCTGAGGTCCCTACCCTACCCAGCTCCTCAAAGATAAGGTCTTGAGTAGAAACTCTGGTCAATGAGCTCTCACCATTAGTTATTACAGAAATGCAAATAAAAACCAGAATGAGATATATCACACCCACTAAAAAGGCAGTAATAAGAAAATTATAAGTGTTCACAAGGAGAAATTGGAACCCCAATTCACTGCTAGTGGGAATGTAAAATGGTGCAGCTGCTTGAAGCAGTCTGGCAGTTCCTCAAAATATTAAACGGAATTGGCCAGGTGCAGTGGCTCACTCCTGTAATCCTAGCACTTCGGGAGGCTGAGACGGGTGGATCATGAGATCAGGAGTTCAAGACCAACCTGGCCAAAATGGTGAAACCCTATCTCTACTAAAAATACAAAAATTAGCCGGGCACAGTGGCAGGTGCCTGTAATCTCAGCTACTCAGGAGGCTGAGGTAGGAGAATTGCTTGAACCCGGGAGGTGGAGGTTGCAGTAAGCTGAGATTGCACCACTGCACTCCAGCCTGGGTGACAGAGTGAGACTCTGTCCCAAAAACAAATACTAAACAGAATTAACCTAAGATCCAGCAATTGCACTTTCTTTTTNCCTGGCTGAGCTGCAGAGTGTGCAGGAAGTCCCAGAGCCCTGTGGTAGCAGATGGGGAAAAGGATGGCTGCATCCATTTGGTCCTTTTTTTTTTTTTTGAGATGGAGTTTTGCTCTTGTTGCCCAGGCTGGAGTGCAGTGGCCATTCACAGGTGCGATCCCACTACTGATCAGCACGGGAGTTTTGACCTGCTCTGTCTCCGACCTGGGCCGGTTCACCCCTCCTTAGGCAACCTGGTGGTCCCCCACTCCCAGGAGGTCACCATATTGATGCCGAACTTAGTGCGGACACCCAATCGGCATAGCGCACTACAGCCCAGAACTCCTGGACTCAAGAGATCCTCCAGCCTCAGCCTCCCGAATAGCTGGGACTACAGGCACGTGCCACCATGCCCAGCTACACTTTCTTATCTATCCAAGAAAAATGGAAGCATGCACACAAAAACTTGTACACAAATGTTCATGGCAGCATTATTCATAAAAGCCTCAAAATGGAAACAGACTAATGTCTACCAGCTGATAAATGGATAAATAAAAGGTGGGCTAGGCATGGTGGATATTATTCTACAATAAACAGGAATGAGGTACTGATACATGCTACAACATGAATGGACCTCAAAACCAGCCACAGAAGACCACCTACTTTATGATTCCATTTATGTGGAATCTCCAGAATAGACAGACCCATAGAGACAAGGATTTTGTGGATGTCAGGGGCTGGATGCTGGATGGGACTGGGGGGGAGAGTTACGGTGGAGTGACTCCTAAGGGGTGTGGGGTTTCTTTGATGAAAATGTAAAGTTAGTCTGGTGATGGCTGCACAATTATGTGAATATACTAAAACCCATTGAATTGTACACTTTACGTTGGTAAATTGCTTTTTGAGATGGAATCTTGCTCTGTCACCCAGGCTGGAGTGCAGTGGCACCATCTTGGCTCACTGCAACCTCTGCCTCCTGGGTTCAAGCGATTTTCCTGCCTCAGCCTCCTAAGTAGCTGGGATTACAGGCATGTGCCACCACACCAGGCTTTTTTTTTTTTTTTTTCCCCTGAGCCGGAGTTTCCCTTTTTTTTCCCTGGCTGGAGTGTAATGGTGCAATCTTGGCTCACTGCAACCTCTGCCTCCTGGGTTCAAGCGATTTTCCTGCCTCAGCCTCCCAAGTAGCTGGGATGACAGGCATGTGCCACCACATCCAGCTAATTTTTGTATTTTTAGTAGAGGCAGGGTTTCCCTATGTTGGCCAGACTGGTTTCGAATTTCTGACCTCAGGTGATCCCCCTGCCTCAGCTTCCCAAAGTACTGGGATTATAGGTGTGAGCCACCAGGCCCCAGCCTTACACTGGTAAATTTTATGGTATATAATCTCAATAAAATGGGAGTGGCATAGGGCTTCCTTGGGAAGAAATTTCTCCCGTGTCTGTCTGACAAACTGGGAGGAAGCAGGGCCAGTGAGTCCTTGGCTAGACTAAGTTCTCAGAATCTAGTGGCCTTGGGCTGCTTCCAGCTAAAGTTGGGCTGACCTGGCTGAGCTGCAGAGTGTGCAGGAAGTCCCAGAGCCCTGTGGTAGCAGATGGGGAAAAGGATGGCTGCATCCATTTGGTCCTTTTTTTTTTTTTGAGATGGAGTTTTGCTCTTGTTGCCCAGGCTGGAGTACAATGGCACGATCTCGGCTCACCGCAACCTCCGCCTCTTGGGTTCAAACAGTTTTCCTGCTTCAGCCTTCCAAGTTGCTGGGATTACAGGCGCCCACTACTACGCCCAGCTAATTTTTTGTATTTTTAGTAGAGACGGGTTTTGCCATGTTGGCCAGGCCGGTCTTGAACTCCTGACCTCAGGTGATCCATCCGCCTCAGCCTCCCAAAGTGGTGGGATTACAGGTGTGAGCCACTGTGCCTGGCCATTTGCTCCTGCTTTTAAGGGATGTGCCCTTATACCCTGATCCCCTTCTTGTGGAACCCCAGGACCCTAGATATCTGTCTATTGAGTCTGTGCCCCTGTCCAGGAAATGCCCCTCATCTTGAGGTCCTAGAACTGTGGGAGGGTGGCCTGGGCATACTTGGCCTGGTGAGTCCCAGCCTTTGTAGAGAGAGAGAACAAGTCTATCACTGCCTTCACTGGATGGGACTGCACTTCTTTCTGCCCCAGGAACCTTGGGTGGAAGGGGCATTGGAGCTCAAATCCAGCTGGCAGCCTCAGAGTTCAGATCCAAGTGGCCTGCCTCCTCCACTCCTCAGCCTACCCAAGCCATGTCCTAGGTGTGGGTTGCTCCCTGGTGGCCAGATAGGGAAGGACTCATTCCTCCTTTGGCAAGGTGGGCTGGGATCTGAGCTGGGCTGTGTAATAGGCAGGCAACTGCATTGGAAGGGCAGAGATGAAGGAATCCTAGGTTATTCTGGAGTGATGAGCAGAGGAGTAAACTAGCCAGGAGCAAAAGATGAGTTGGAGAGCATGCAGAGAGCCCAGCCAGCTTGCTTCACACACACTACAGGAAAAGTAATGAGTTGTGTCACATGGTAAAGGATCAGGCCGGGTGTGGTGGCTCACGCCTGTAATCCCAGCACTTTGGGAGGCTGAGGCGGGTGAACCATGAGGTCAGGAGTTTTGAGACCAGCCTGGCCAACATAGTGAAACCCTGTCTCCACTAAAAATACAAAAAACTAGCCGGGTGACAGAGAGAGACTCCATTTCAAAACAAAAAAAGTATTTCACTCAGTGTCCCTGAATCTTCCCCTCTCTCCCACAACCACTGTTTACAGAGCCTTAAAACAAAGAAACAAATACGATAATGTGTTCTTGTGCTCCGTTGCCTGGCCTGGAGTGCTGTGGTGCCATCTGGGCTCACTGCAGCCTTGACCTCCGAGGCTCAAGTGATCCTTCCTGCTGAACCTCCCGAGTAGCTGAGACCATAGGCACATGCCACCATGCCGGGCTAATCTTTGTATTATTTGTAGAGAAGGGGTTTTGCCATGTTCCCAGGCTGGTCTTGGACTCCTAGACTCAAGTGATCCGCCTGCCTGAACTTCTTATGATCAGGGGCCACCACAATGGGCTAGTTTTTTTTTTTTTTTTTTGAGTCAGGGTCTCACTCTGTTGCCTGGCCTGGAGTGGGGTGGTGTGATCACGCCTCACTGCAGCCTCAAACCCCTGGGCTCAAGCCATCCTCCCACCTCAGCCTCCTGAATAACTGGGACCGCAAACACAGGCCACTGCACCCAAATAACTTTTGCAGAGACAGGGTTTTTGCATGGTCTTGAACGCCTGGACTCACGCGCTCCACCTGCCTCCGCCTCCCAGTGCTGTGATTACAGGTGTGAGCCATCACACCTAACACACCTAGTGCAGTCCTTCTAAAGACTCTCCCAGCACCCAGGCAGCCTTACTCAAGCTCTCCCTGATCAGATAGGCAACCCGATAAGTTGCATTGTCTGGGGAAGGGCAGCAAGAACCCTGCTCTGGGAGTTAAGAGTTCCCGGACCTAGCACAGAGCTGCTCTCCTTACTAACTAGTTACTGATCTTGCCCAAGTCACTTCCTTCCTCTGGCTCTGTTTCCCAATCTGTAAAATTGTTACTGGAAAGGGGTCCTAGTCCAGACCCAAAGAAAGGTGAGGAGAGCAAAAATCACACCCTCCCCAGACAAAAAGTTCTTATCTGAGCAATTTAGATAAGGAGCAATCTAAGGAGCAATGACCACACCTGTTGAC